TCTCTCTCTCTCTCTTTCTCTTTTCTCAGGGATCTTAGAGCCCATTGGAATGACTTCATTCAACTTAATTACCTCTTTTCAGACCCTAACTCCACAAATAATCACATTCTGAGCTCCTCGAGGAAGGATTTTTGTGTATGAATTTTGGAAAGCCTGCAAGAGCTGCCATATTTGGGGGAAAAGGCCTCTGCAGGTGTGAGCTGGTGACTGCCGCGGGCTCTAAATGCTGCCATGAGTATCCTTCTTAGAAAGCAGAACTGCGTGCCAGCAAATCAAAAGATCAAGATAAAATAAGTAAATTCCTACAAACACAGCCTACCAGGCTGACTCATGCACCCGCAGATGATCAAAACAGATCAATAATGAGTAAGGAGCTGAATCTAATAAAAATCCCAACAAAGAAAAGTCCAGGGAGAGGAAAATGGAAAAAGAAAAAGGAAGAAAAGCAAGACATATCGCGTACAGGCACAAATTCACTAGGGTGAATGCTGTGATTATATATATATATATATGTAACATTTTTTAAAAAAATGCTGGCGATACAAAGAAAAGAAGAACCCAGGACCAGATGGCTTCCCTGGAGAATTCTGCCAACCATTTAAAGAATTAACACCAAACCTGCTGAAGCCCTTCCAAAAATATACAGAGGCAGAAACACTTCCGGTATCATCCTGAGAGGCTGGCATTCCCCTAATGCCCAAACTAGACAAAGACACAGAAAAGAACTACAGACTAATATGACTGATGAACAAAGATGCAAAAATCCTCATCAAAACCTTCGAAGCCTAATTCAATAGCATGTTCAAGGGATTCTATCCTGTAACCAACGGGATGGAGCCCAAGGACAAGGAGGTTCAATGTGAAAAAAGCCTGCAGCAGCTGGGCATAATGATGCACGCCTGTAATCCCAGCACTTGCGAGGCTAAGGCACGAGGATCGCCGAAGGTTTGAGACAAGCCTGACCTGCATAGTGAGACCCTGTCTCAACCCTCCACACACACTCACACATAAGGGAGTGGTCAGACTCACAGAACCCAGAAGTAGACTGATGGTTATTGGGGTGCTGGGAAGATATTTAAAGAGTTGAATTGCAGATTTGCAAGATGAAAAGGTTCTGACCAGGCATAGTGGCACATACCTTGACCCCAGTGCTCAGGAGCTAAGGCAGGAGGATTTCTATGAGTTCTGAAGACAGCCTGGGCTACATAGTGAGACCCTGTCTCAAAAAGACAGTCAATCATTCAATGAATTGTGGAAGTCTGTTTCATAACAATGGAAATACACTTAACACTAGTGAAACAGGCAATTAAGGTAGTAAATCTTTTATTATTATTATTATTATTATTATTATTATTTTATGTGTTTCAAGCAGGGTCTCACTACGCAGCTCCAACTCATAGTGATCCTCCTATTTTCAGCCTACCCACTGGGATTACAGGTACGTGCCACCACGCCATAGCAAACCCCTCCCCCCCCCGGAGGGGGCGCCTGCAAGACACGCAAGACCGGGATCAACCCAAGCAGGTGCTTAGTCCGCTGAGCTCTCTAACCTTTGTTTTTTGACGGAGTTAAAAAGAAGTGGGCAAGATGCAGCTCAGAGGCTGAGCACATGCCTCTCACAACTCAGGTCCTGGGCTCCATCCCCTGTACCACAAACGACAAAGGAGGATGACAAAAGACAGATTCTCTGCTAGAAGCCTCAGAGGAGAGAACATGTAGATCTCTTGACACCTTAACCTTGGCCCTGTGAAACTGATTCTGTGCTTCAGGCCTCTGGAACAGGAAACCAACACAGTGAATAAATGATTAGCCCCAACGCCACATAAGACAGACTCTGTTATATGGGACAGTGAAGCCTGTGATAGCCCCATGCCCGAGAGGTTGGAGCAGCCGAGAGGTGCAGTGTGGTTTTAACAGAAGCAACCAAGGAGAGAAGAAATAAGGATGAGGTAGCCAGACACTAGGTCCTTTGGGTTTAGAGGCCAGAAAGTGTCCTGTGTGGACCCACAGGCTCTGGAGGCGACAGGGTAGGGTCCTGACTTCAGGCCGGTTGCCCTGATCACACACAGACCCAGAGGGAGGGAGCAGGAGGGGTCTGGGTGTGTTTTGTAGTCAGACTCAGCAGGATCTGTGGAAAGACCCCATGTGGGGAGGGAAGAGAAGAGAAGGGGGAGGGGGAGAGGCATCTGGGCACCTGTACACTAGGCCTGAAGTACTTTTTTATGTCTTTTTTCTTTTTCTTTCTTTTCTTTTCTTTTTTCTGGCCCAAAGAGACACCAGGAACAGCAGACCTGGACACGCTGAGTGTTACATGCCCTTGCCACTCAAGAAGAGACCTACAGAGTCCTTCAGCAACTGCAAGCAGAGGTCTCTAAGGTTACCAGGCCAGCCGTCCATACGCATGAGGTCATCCCTGTGGGCCAGGAGGTGGCAGACCAGTCCGACAGCAGGGACCCAATTATGTCCATTCTCTGTGTCCTGAGGCCAGAACAGCTCAGGCTTTGCCTCCTGCCATCAGCAACAGTCGAGCTCAGGCTGTAGCCACATCCTGTCCCCAAGCAGCCTCTTGCTTGTCACCAGCTGTGCTCAACCTGCACCAACTTTGTAGGTTTAGACCTATCCCAAACACAGCCCCGTAGTAAATGAGCTTTTACCATGGGGCTTCCAGCCCCTCACCTGGAAAACTTTCACCACCAACACCATCAGTGAAACACCAAGTGTGCCCTTGCCACACAGCCACCTGGAATGCTAGAGTTACA